GCTTCGATGACCGATTATCCTTTCAGGATGCGGAGTTACATGCTTTAAACAGTGTCATCAACGTTCCCGATCATGCGACAGCATCTTATCTTCGACAGAAGATAACCTGAACCTAGAGCAGAGTTTGTCGAGACCCTTGTCTCAGTCCATTCTTTGCTGCTCCCGGGTCTTCGGCAAGTTTGTTCGTTTTGTTGGGCAAGTACGGTTGAGGAAGCAGTAGTTGTTTAACCTTCGTTTCTGGAAGTTTTCTCAGTACGTACCCAAGCCATCGCAACTGTGACTTCTCAATCTGCAGAAACGGCGGCTGTACACCAATGCTGTTTCGAGTATCTCAAGCGATTTTTCCTATGACCATAAATTATCTGGTGTATTTAGGAGTAATTTGAATTTCACCCGCGCAGTTTTCGATGCAGGCATGAAATAGATATAGCAGTAACGCTTGTTTTTTCTTTGCAAAGGAGACAGTAATTCGAGAAAGATATAAGGGTTAATCTGTTTATGGAAAGTATCGATACCTTGTTTATTATTCAGTATTCGAAATTTCCTCTTGTGAAGAATAATATTTTATTCGCCTTCCACGGAAATTGAGATTAATATTGAAGTTACGTGCGCGAAGATTGTTATCTTATCTACTATTTCAGAATAAGTTTCCTGTTAAATCAGATATCCATTGTCGGATAGTTTATATGGTGCGCTTCTGTTGCGTCCCCTAAGTCTATGTACGGTTTATTGAAATTTCTATGTTTATCCCCACCTCATTAAAGACAAGATTTGTTATGTTTACATTCTGAATATCAGAGACACTAAACTGATTTTATTGCATTAGATCAAGTGGTACTGCTACTGGTAGCAGTGGCGGCACTGACGAAACTGACCCCCGAACGTGTCTCCCACGTCACCCCTTCTTTCCGGACATACCGATGGTTCAAGGCGAGCTATTCTTCGAATGTACTTTGTTCTTGTACTCGGTATTGGTCTTGTTCTTACAGTACCTGAATTTGTACAAGACCATGTGGTGGCTCCCAAATTCTCATACGCATTACGCTCTGGCAAGTCAATTACATGCTTTTCTATCTAAATTTTTACCGGTTGAATGCTATTTTAGAAGTTCCATTTGATCGACCTTTATGTACTGTCGTGCGTTGGTCTGATCCTTGGGCGCAGGGTCATCCTGTGCTTTTTGAACAAACTCACGGTCGTTCCGTATGATGAAAATAAGCCGATTCCATTATGGCTGTCTGTTTTGGAATGGATTATGAAACTTCCAGTTATTACAGCCATCATCGCCTCTTTCTCGTTCAGCTTTGTGCATGTCCTCGCCTTTTACTCTCGTTTCGTTTTGGCCAATCTTATTTATCCGTAATTATTTTCTCCTTTTGTGTAGTCTTATTTATTCGCTTGTGCATATTTATTCATAGCTGAAAATTAGCAGTTTCATCGCGTTTATGTGGTTTCATTAGCTACAGATTAACTTCTTTCATTTTCCGGCAAACATGATACGTCCAGTGAGTGCTGATATTTAATTGTCTCAAGCTGCCTTCTGGTCAATTCTAAACGCTGAAAACAAATATCAGTTCATTTTCCTGCCATTACAATCGCTGTTTGTTCAGGCCAGTCTTTTACAGCCACAAAATTAGACATTTTCGATTCTAGTCCCGTTGTTAATTCGTCAACAGACCTTTTCACTTCTGCTCTGACGAGTTTAGAAGTGTGACACCGAAACGTTCTGGCATTGAAAATTTTGCTGTTGTCTTTGTTTGGTGGTCTCAACCACGGATAAACGAATCTGCTTCTTTTGAGAACACTTCTTCATTTTTCCGTTAATGATGGATGTTCTTACGCTGTTCTTGATAACAGGAATAGGGATGTTTTTCATTGAACGAAAAGATCGAAAAGTTTGTTATGATGACGGATGTAACAACGTTGAAGTTGTCTGTCCTTTTTCAGGGTCACAACGACCTAGCAGAAACTGTAGTGTATATTATATAAAACATATATAACTGCTGTGTAGCGTTGACTTTTGATGGACATCCCAAAGATGGACGATGTCGCAGTTGTCCGTAACGTCAGTTCCCTGTTAAATGCTAACATTTCGTGTGCAGTATGCAGAATTAAATTGGCTGTTGACGACTATAGGTTTTAATCACGAATTTTCCGGATAAATACTGTTTGATGTGAATTTATCATCAGGCACGCCGTGTGGTTTCAAAATGCAGCTCTTTAGTTTTTTATAATATTCTGTAATATCCTGAAAGAGAACAACTGCAGAACTTGCTGTAGACGAGCAGACTCAAAGAATTGCATTGAAAGCACGAAGGCAGACTTCTCTTTTGGACACTGCAAACCGATACTATCGCTGAGAATTCTTTTAGCTGCTTCAGGTTGTAATCATTCTCGAATGTCAGACAATAACTTCGCTTTGTCTGATCACGTTTGCTATGTTATTTCTACAGATCTGAAAATTGAATTATGTAAAGAAAGCCAGAAACATCTCTTATTTCTATAAGGAACGCCTGCGGCAACTCCTAATCATCAAATGGACGGATTTTGTCAGAAACGCTTGAATAAAGTAGGCTGACTAACAACTTATAGCATGTAGAAATTTGAGTCGCTTTGAGACAAGCAACCGTTCTTTAAATGGGTTGTGCAAATAAGGCTATAGCCGCAACGCATCACGTGCTGAATAGTCATAACGATGTTAACTGCTCTCATGCAGTCATCGGCATGAAAGCAATTTCCTGAGCGTCTGCTGTGTACCACAGTTAATTTTGTAGAGCGAATGTAGTGATAAAATATTTCTGGTTTGTCTGCTTACTTTATATTCGCAGCTGCTTAGGTTTCTGCGCTGTTTAAATATTTAAATCCGTAATTCAATATTTGAAGCTGGCTAGTTCACGTGAATACCCGAGGTTTAGCAGTAAGGTATGATCGAAATATACAGTGCAATTGACAAGCTTATATGCCAGCAAACTGTTGTACAGTTTTCCTGCATTCCGGTTACTCTACGGTCAGTAGCGAACGATCAGCGATACAGAGTGTGTGAAATAGAGCAAATGTTTACGTCGGCTTTTATCTTGTTCGTCCGGAACTGTTTAGATATCGGACATGCATTGTTTCATTGTTTGCTCACTTGTAACATTTTTTTCTTTAGGTTCTTCTTTAACGTGCTTATATTTTACAACGAGTTTGTGGCACTGTTCACACAGTCATCATCTCTGGCGCAGAAGTTGCTTGCCTGTGTACGCAGCACGTCGTACTTGAAGAATCTGAATGGTCACACTTGTTCGTTGTCGCCGTCGTACATCAGGGAAGAGGTAGACACTCTGATCTCTGACTTCTACCATCGCCTGAAGCAGAGTTTCTTCGCCGCCATGACTACCGCCTACTATGCCGTGTTCATTCCGTGCTGTTTCGCGCCGGTATGTTTTGGCCATTTGTTTTCGATTACTCGCCCTTGGACCACATGACAATGTCTTATCGACTTTTGGCATTTTTAGTCAGTACTCTACATCGACTACTGGTGGATGGCCGAAATGAGTTTCATCGTCTTCTCTACCGCTTGGAGTCTTTATCTGACGTAT